TTAAAGAAATGTAAAAAGAATAAACGGTATTTTCTAATTGTGCAACAGATTGTCACCAAATAAATTGAATTGAATATTGCGATCAAAACCTGACGGTTTTAAACAATAATATCTCACGTGTTTTTTAAAATATATCATGTAAATGCACCGATTATTATTCCATAGCAATTAATTCACCAAGTATTGGTAAATTTTTTAAGAAAAAAAATCCACAATTTGATCTAAAATTATTGAACCGAAATATATAAAAAAAAAAAAATTGACATGTCAATTTATATTCGATGAAATTTTATTGATAAAAATTAATTGTATATGCATTTGTCGTGTGAATTTTGTTGATATAAAATTAGAACATTTTATAGAGTAAAAGATAAGGACAAATTATGTGATTCTTTTTTATTTGAATTGTTCAAATCAAATTGTAAGTCATATTTGTGGATTGATACGTCTATAAAAGAATTAATTGGAGCGAATAACAAACTCAATTGATATCATTAAGAGATGTTCACGCAATTTTTTTTAAATGATATGATTTTATTGAATAAATATATGGCCCAATTTTATCTAAAATTGCGTATTAATAGTTAAACCGATTACTTCAAAAAATTTAATAGATCTTATTTATCAAATAATATTTTAGTAGAAAAAAGTAAAGATTTTTAAAAATTTCATGCCATTTTATTTATTTTATTTTTTAAATCTTACTAAAAAACTTGATTAAGAGACAATTGAAAAGAATCATTAGTTTTTTTCTTTTTTTAAATGACAAAATTTTTTTACCAATATACAAAGTGAAAAGAATCATCAATTTTTTTCTAAAACTGCAACTACATTTTTCTAACATTTCACCAATTTTTTTCACCAAATAAATTGAATTGGAATTAATTTTAATAAAAAGTTTGAATGATTTATTAAGATTTATGCAACTCTTTTTTTTTTTTTTTTTTACCCTAAAAAAATTGTATGAACTTAACCAAAAAAGTTGTAAACATGGTTAAGAAAAAACACAAGTGATGGGCCCTCTCCTAAATCTGGATTGAATCGGTCAAAATGAGCTCCAATCTGTCTGAACTGCGCTGGATCGTCACGAAAACCTGCAAGAACTTAACGCCGAAGGGGTTTCCGACGAAGAGCCTCCGATGCTTAATTCAGTATCAAGAAGAGGGAGAGGTACTCTTAAGAAAGAGCAATATGAAATGTGTAGAGAGTGCAAAAGTTGGGAAATTATGATGCCTCGGCTTCTTTTATATGAGAAATACCTGCCCGGAGTGTCCTGCCCGGCTGCCGGGATCTTTTGTGCTTATCCATATCCTAATAACTTCTTAGTCAGATCCTAGTCAAGCCAAGTCAAGTTAAGATTTCATCTTATCCTCTAAAGATAGTCAAGCCAAGTCAAGCTAAGATTCCATCTTATCCTCTAAAGATTTGTCCTTATCTGTTAAGCCTATTGAGTATTGGGATATGATTCCTTGATGCGAATCTCAAGCAGTGGGATAAATGAAATCGACCTCGAGCTGCGAGATGGGTGAAGTCGACCTCGCGCTGCGAGGTGAGTGCAGTCGACCTCGAGATACATGAGGTCGACTGTCATTCTTCATATTGATATAGTGGGAGTCGTTACTGTTGCCCCATTCTCATTCTTGGACCATCTTCGAGGCCCTCTGGTTACTTATCTTTGCTGGTGTCGAGATGTCCTCTACCTGTGTGGACCTGGAGCTGCGAGGTTTAGTGAGTTCGACATAGGGGTACATAAAGTCGACTAAGACTCACGTCGATAAGTAGGAGTTGCTATTCTCATGCCCAGCTTCTCGCAAGTCGTTCCTCGATCATACTTAGGTGGCTCGTCTTTCTGCCGATATCGAGCTATTCGATGGCTGCTCTTTCGTTCAAGTCTGTGTGTCATCAATCAATCTCTTAAGTCGACTCGAGGATCTTAAGGGTGTGATTGTATATAAATTCAATAGTAAAAAATTCAATCAAAACTCAAATTTAACTCAACTTTAACTCTACTCCACTATCTTCAATATTAATAATATAATTAAATAATATCAACCAATCATTCTTACACATCACATCAACTTTAATTCACTATTCATCCACTCACATAATTCTAACTAACTATCACTTCCAATCATTTTTCTCCTACTTTACATCAAATCAACTTTAATTATTTTATTTAAATATTATTTTAGTATATCCACTAACAACTAACCACACCACATTTTTTCAAAATTAACTATAGTTAAAGTTAAACCAAATAAAAACTAGTTTTTTTACTATTGAAACTATAAACAATCACCACCTAAGTCGCTATTCATAAATCTACTTAAGGACCTCGAACTATTATTATAACGGGTCGACACGCCTAACTTGAATCATCATAAACAACTCGAATTATGGATCGGTAGAGATGTTACCGTCGGTCTGGGAGCATGGCTATATCAATAAGAATCCAAGAAAATTGGTGTATTCAAATTTTAAAAAATTGCACACGATTTTGAAATTGATTTGAATAATATTCCTAAATAAGCGGATAAGATTTGAATTTATATATAAAAAGTGAATCGATTTTGTTACAACAAAAATGTGGATACGTTTTGAATGTATATCCTATCCAAATCTCTTTTTTAAAAAAAAATAAAAAAAATAAAAATTGCAATTCGATTTATCCAATTTACACACATTTTTTAAAGAAAAAATATATTAAAAAGATTAGAAAATTTGTTAAAAACTATAAAACTATTTGTTTCCTAAATTTGTATTCAATTTGCACGGTTTTTAAATTAATTTGTATTTTAATTTTTTTCATAAATAGCTGACACATTTTGCTATAAGAATCTCCAAATTTGATACCAAAAATAGGATTCAAATTTTGTAAAAAAAAGTAAAATAATGAAATTCAAATTTTGGCATAAGAATCCCCAAATTTATTACAAAAAAATAAAAAATAAAAAAAAAATTGAATACAAATTTTGTTACTAAATAGTTGGAAAGAAAATGGGGCCAAATTGTCTAACAATATGATTAAGTTTGATTCTTAAATATTCACATGTTTTTTTTTTCAAAATATCAGTAATAGTAAGTCAAATCTTTTATTTGTAGTCTAACTTTACGATTAAAGTATTTTTTTACAACAACCTTTTTAAATTACTATAGATTTTGCTCACTTCAAGATTATGTCACATGAATATTTTACAATCTCCTTTATATTGTAAAAATAAAAAATAAAAATTATCAATATAAGATAAAGATGCTTAGTTTATAGAGATTCTAGTTTGCAAATAAAATAAAATAAAATAACAAAAGAAAGAAAGAAAAGGAAAGCATATAAATTACGAAATAAGAAATATAATGGTAAAATAACTTTCATGTGAGGCAATCTCCATCACATAAAGGCCACAACAGAAACGGACAGCATCTCATCACTATATTTAATTTCATTTATTTATGTACAGTAGAGCACCACCGATTGCTCTTTTGGTGGACAGCAACTGTTTAAATATATGTTATTAAAACCATATAATGAAAATGATTTTAGCACCCTTTTATTATATTTAATATTATTATTATTATTATTATTATTATTATTATTATTATTATTATTATTATTATTATTATTATTATTATTATTCATGTTCTTGAAATTCCTTTCGCATCACAATTTATATAAAATCGCGTTGAATTTCATTTAACAGTTAGCCTGTTTTTAACACTAACTAATTTCACCCCGTGCATTTGTACAAAAATCGATATTAGAAGAGAAAATAATTAAAAATATAAAATAAAACAAAAATCATAAATGAGACAAAAAAATAATTTAAAAAAGTCAAACTAAATAATACTTCATTATAAACAACATTCGTAGTTTTCCTATCGTCAAAATCTCATCACAACAAATAATTATCATTAAACATTTTCGACTCGTCTCAAGGATTTGATTTTTTTTAAAAAAAATATTTGATGTATTTTTGTAATATTTGAAAAAATATTTTCTTATTATTTTATGACTGCAATAGAAAATAGAAATACTTGTTGTCATTCTTAATTAGTTCGAAAATATTTATTATATAATACCAAAAATATATATAGTTCAAAATAAAAATAAAAATATTTTTTTTTTTTGGAGCCAGTCACGATATCCGGAGCTATGCCCCGACTAATCTGTTGGTCGACCTGTGTTGCACACCTGGCAGTGGTGGGTGAATATCCCAACAAGAGTTCTGCATCCACAAGGACTCGAACTCGAGTCCTTGCTTAAAGCACATCAAACTGCTTACCACTTGAACCAACCCTTGTTGGTAAAATATTTTGTATTTTAAGACATAAAAAGCGTTACACAAATGTGCACCATAAAAAAATAGGACATGTCAAAATAAATCGTGTAACCAAAAGTTACATATTTACATTAAATAGTGAACATATTTTTATTAAATGAACACATATTTTTATTAAATTAACTAATATTATTATTAATTGCTAAAATAAAATTTATTGAAGCTTGCCGGCAATTATATATATATAGATACCTATACCATTTTACTTTGACTCGATAGTTTAAACTAATCGACCACCTTTTGATTCTCCATTAAATAAAGATCCGTGGGCTTCATATTTACTAAACACTGAAAAAACACAGCCTCAAAAGTACATTTAAATACAACAACTAAGCACTACTTTAATCTCCAATTCTCTCCCTAACTCTCTATTTCTCAGTGCAATTCACAACACTGTTAATCCAAGAAATGCTAAAACGCGTAGTAATAATATAACAATTAAAGAAATAAAGCTAACTTGCAGAATTTTAATTTTTTTAATTTTTTTTTTCGAACAGATCAGAGAGTTGAACACTATACTTCACTAATCTCACCTTCCCTGCATACACCCACATCTATCACCATATTTTTCTTGTTCGAGCTTACGACCCGGCAACAATTTCTTCTCGGTGACTGCCCAAGAAAAAAAATCAGAAAAAAACAATCAAATAAGTTTTCCAAAAGTTTAAATTGCACATGAAACAACTACATTCTTTATCAAAAATGCTTTGAGGTTAAGCTAATTACAAATTCTTATGCTCGAACAGCCTAACCATTAGGCTGGGTCGACCCATCATATTTTTTAACAAAAATGCTTGCAATGTTAAAATCATATGACAAAGACATCCCTTAAGGAAAAGTTCCCCCTACTTGAAGTTCAAATTCAAGAATATGAACAAGGGGAGATGCTATGGTCTCGTTACAAAACCATTCCGTCGGAATTTGTAACCGTAATATCCATCATGTAAATATCCGGGATAATTGATCTAGGTTACAAACCCGATGAAATAGTTCCGTAACGGGACCGTAGCTTTTTCCTATGAACAAGATCGGAGAATGGTAGTCAATTCAATTTTTAAAAGATTACTGGAAATGTTACTAACCAGGCCAAAGTCCATGGACATGTTTCAGGATAAATTATAATTAAAAGGTCTCAGTCATTGTACTAAAATGAAGTATTTATTAGCTGTCAATCAAATAACTTTCAGCAAGGTTGTCGGTGTGAGGATCCTCAATAATGAAAGCTCACAGACAAAAATTTGACCTTTGGCTAAACAAAAACTGTCATCGAGTTTGGTACATCACCACCGTCGGCACACATAAATATATTTATTAATTTTAGAGAAATTTGCAAAAACACAAACTTTTATCTTAAAATGTGGCATTTGTCAATCCCCACCAAAATAATATTCTTAATCCGAAGAAAAATGGCATTTTTATTTCAACAAGAATCACACAAGAATTCATAGTAAAATGAAACAATAAAATTTGGACTTACCCGATCCCACAGTCCTGGGTCGGGCTTCTTGTAAACCTTGATCCGCTCGACCACATTCGGGTCGACCGTCTTCCACTTACAAAGTGGATGTGGGACCCGATGACGGACGTACTCACTCACCGTCCGGTTAGTGCCCGGTTCCATTTTCGCCCCCGACATGTAGAAAACAAACGGCTTCTGGCAAGGGTTTCTCATAACAGGCCTCGTGTTGAAAGCATAAGCCGTGTAATCTGCCCGCCTGTACCAGTTCAAGAATGTCCTAGATGGCATCTCGATCTCCCGGGGGGACAAAACCCCCCGGAATATCTGGACCGCAAAACCCCACGAGACGGACAGGGTCCACTCGTTGATCTTGTCGTAGCATATGGACTGCTGCATTAGGCCAGCCGAGTCGAGGCCCATTGGGATCTTGAGACGCTTGAGGGCCTGCACACGGGTCACATTCGGGAAAATGGGCTCGACCACATCCAGGTGGTGCAGGGACACCAAGGGGGTAACCGGGTGAGCCGCGAGCAGACCGAATAAGTTGCCGTAAACATCATACTGCAAATTTCAATACACCAATTTCAACCACCACTTTTACAGTGCATCAACACCAACTACAATACCAACAACAGTCCACTCAAGACTTTTTCCCCCACCCCACATAAATAAATGATCTTGACATCTTGTTTTTTAGTTGAGGTTAATGAGTCATTAATATTATAGGAGACAGTGATATTAAGATGCTAATGTTTCATAGTAGTTGAGTGTGACCAGAAAAAGATGAGTAAACAGTTGGCCCACATATCAATAAAATTATTTGAATTTGTGAGATGAACATCAATGGAGTCCACCCAAACCTCATCGAATTCTGGGTTTTTTACTTTTGCAGAACTGTTGCGAAAAGTCTACTAATTTTGAAGACCAACACTTGGAAACCCGTGAGCAACGCACTAATTGCCCCAAGTTTTCCAAAACAAAAAGCTCAAATTTTTAAACCGCCTACGGTTTTGTTAAAACTACTGCTACTCCTAAAGTTCTTTTCTACTTGTTCTTCTAGCTGAGAAGATTAAAGTTAACCGCAAAAAAAGCAAAGGTGAAAATAACAAGATTTAGCAGAAAATAAACAAAAGATCTAAAGAATCATTCATAGCTCCACTCCACCTAACAAGTCACATTGGGCAAAAACCTCCAGAAAAACAGCAAATTCAAAACAGAACCCAGATAATAAGATATTAAAACAAAAACAAGAAATAAGAAACATTCTCTCACCTGGTGAAAACCTAGTTCCTTGGTGAGTGGCACACCGAGTTCGGCCATACAAGCCTGCATACGGTCATCCGAGCCGTAGAGGCCAGGGTACCTCTGTATGCACCTGTCCTGCATCCTCTCGAGCGCCTTAGCCAGCGGGTAGCTTATCGCAAAACCCCCACCGCCATACGCCATCCCGTATGAAAAGTATATGTTCTGCAGATGGCTCTCGCTCAAGCTCCCTATGTAATAATACTGCGTGTGGTCGTACTTATTCAAGATTCTAACCAAATTGTCGGTCACAAACACGGTATCATCATCACCCATCACGAACCACCGCACATTGTCCAAATCCCCCAGCCGCAGGGTCTCGGAGACGATCCTCGATATGCGGATGGCCGAACGGTGGCCCTGCTTGTTCTTGTACGCGAATCGCTTGGTGTCGGCCGAGATTCTCAGCTCAGGCAGTGTCGAGCTCTCGTTCCTGTAGGTCTTGACGGGGCTGTCGAGCCAGACCGTACCCCGCATTTTCTTCTCCGGCTGCCACCACAGCTTGATGTACTCCTTGCGCTTGCTCCACAGCTTCGCGGAGGCGGCTATGCCGAACACGATGTGCTCCAGACCCGTTTTGTCCGGGGATTCGTGCCGGATTAGGGAATTGTGAGGCTGGGGCTCTGCTTGGACGTCCGCGGAGGACGACGAAACGGTGTCGTTCAGCGGCAGGTCGGTGATGTGGACGGATTTCTGGTGATGAGTGAAAGGGCTGCTGTTGTCTTCGGCGCAGGAGCTGTGGGAGGAGGAGACCAGCTTCAGCGTGTAGACCACATAGGTGGCCGAGACGAAGAGGATGAGCCACACCATCAGCCTCGGCAGGGCTTTAGCTTGGGTGGCCGCCATGGATGCACCAGAGGGGCTCTTCACCGAGTCCCACAGGAACTTCTCAGGATTATTCTGGGCGAATTTCATTTTTTTTTTCTCCCAATCAGCTCGCAATTCCCAGATTTGGCGGCCGAAATTTGAGGGTAAAAGAAGAGAGATGATTGAATCTCACACTCTCTAAGCACAAAATCTTGCCCCCTGTAAGCGTGAGTTTATGAGATAGAAAATAATTACAGATCTGGTCTGGGTTGAAAATATGGGTAAAAAGGGTATAAGAAATGAATGAGGATGAGAACGAAGATGAAGGAAAAAGCAAGAGCATGCACTGGTGCCAAGTTGCAGAGACTCTCTCTCTCTCTCTCTCTCTCTCTCTCTCTCTCTCTCTCTCTCTCTCTGTACAGACCTGGCAGCCCCGCCCAACACACACCAATCTTCACATTTATTAATTGTTTTTCGGCCCCTCAAACGATGTCTGAGAGGAATAAGAAATAACACAACAAAACAAAAAATCTGCAAATAATGCTTATTAAAATATAATTATGGAGATTGGTGTGTCAATGTAGACGTAGATACGTACAGAGGATTGTATGTATAGGCAGGGGATGGAGGTGGAGGAAGGTAGCTAGAGAGATCTGTGTATACGATTATTATCACTCCCAACAAATTTTCAGAGATCTTTTCTTTTTTCTTTTGCCTTATTTGACCCAAGATATAATATATTATTAAAATTGCCAAAAGCGTGTGTAAGTGAGAATGCGATATAAAGGGGCGGTAGGCAGGTGAAGCGCGATTTTAATTCAAGTAACAGTGATCCTGTGAGCCAAAGGGTCGGCTGGAAAATTGGGTTTGTTCAGCTAATCTTTTATGGGACGAATTTTCTGTAATCAAAATTGTTTTTATAATAAGGTAGAAATAAATTGTTTTTCAAAGATAAGATTTTTTTTTTCTATTAATAAATTGGTGTACAATGAGTAATATCCAGCTCTTGTGCCTATGTTTTAACAATTTTTAATATGCCCGTAGAGTAGATATAATCATTTTCCCATGGAAGACATTTAATACTAGTATTTTCTTTATTTGTAGCATTACCAAAATCAATTATCTAAATCTTGACAATACATTGCTAGTACTAACTCGTACGATGCACGGGACAAAGATTTTAACTGAATCATTTTAAAGAGAACTTGTCTGTTAAGTAGTTCACATATTAATTAATGAGTCATTTTTCATATGTCATGTCCATTAAGGTTTCAAACATAATAGAGTTGAATCATCTATTTTTCACGTTTTTTCATCAGCATATCGTATTTTCTTGTCGGGACGTTAAATTTTAGTCTGTTAGCGCTAGCCCATAAATTAATTAGTATGTTATCCCGTTAACACATTTATAATACTATAAATTTTATTTTAATACAGATATTCATTCGTTGATATAAGAGCAATAATAATTCTAACTTAGTCTTGTTCCATGTATAACATTCATTTATTATTTTATTATAGAATTTGTTGTAATATAATCTCACTATTATTATTTATAAAAGTTGTCGAGGTAGTCTTCTTTTTTTTATGTAATAAAAGATGTTTAATGTATGCTAATACTATTTATTAAGGTAATAAATTTAAAATTATGTAAATAATTTAAAATAAAACATGTATTCAAATAGCTTACAAAGCATACACAAATGTTTTTTTTTTATAGAATTTAATTATTCTATAATAATTAAACATCTTTGATTTAGTAACAGCAAAAGACAAAATCTCTTATATAATCAAGAGATTTTTATATCATAGGCTTTATAGTTTATTCAACATACTATGCAACAGAAATATATTTTGAAAGAATTTCACTATGGACTGAAATCAAAACTAAAAAAAATTATTAAAAAATAATCAAGGTTAACAATAATATACAAATAAACTACATGTTGAAAGTCTGAATAATAGTTAGTATATTTCAATTTCATTATCTGATCATTAGTAAAGTTATTTAATGTATCTGGTCATTATCTCTTAAATGTTAAATTATATAAATTTTAAGAATAATTTGTTTTTCTTTTTATATACAATGAAATAAAGATGGAGAAAAAAATTACTTAACATGTTACAATTTTTCATAAATATTTTAGGATGAAAAGTCAATATTTGTGAAAAAAGTAATATGCTTAGATTTAAAATATGTTTTCATGTCTATCTTGACAATAAAATAATCAATATGAATCACGGAAAATTAAATTTGTAGTTTATTATAATGGATATCAATGAAATTATTGCATATGCTAATATAATTATTAAAGGAAAAATAAAAAACTTTTTAATCATATCTGATTTGGAATTATGTGTATGGAAGTAACTAATGCATACATTTTAAAAGTTTCCAAATAAAATATGCATTTAATTTTTCAAGATTTTTTTGCTACTGTGTTTAGTATATGGTTATTCTCTTTATGTAGATATAGATATAGATTTGTCAATTGTTATTATCAATCATTAAATAATTAGTTCATAGAAAGAGTCGTGTTACTAAATCAACTTCATATGCCAACTATACATTATTTTTTATTATATTATTATCAAAATCAACTATCAAGGTAAAACTAATTATATGGCTTAATTTTAATACATGACTTATCTTTTTTTTAATAGTATTGTACCTTTTTTAAGTAAAATTTTTTTTTTTCAAATGAAAATTATATTAAAAACTAAAAAAAAACAATTCGGGATGTTAATATGTTTGGATATAAAAATTTGTGAAAATAGCTATTCACCCTGTTTTGAAAGTCTTGTTAAGTTTTTCACACTGTCCAATAAAAAACTAAATTTTCACCCCAGAAAGTGCGAAAGACATTGTGCGATAAATATGCGAAAATTGCGTGATGTCATTGTGCGAAAGTTAAAAGTGCGAAGGTATTCGCATATCCCTTCGCACTTTCTGGGGTGGAAAAAAAGTTAAAGTGTGAAGGCATTGTGCGATGAATATGCGACAATTATGCAATTGATATGCTACAGTTATGCGACAGTTTTTCGCATAACCTTCGCATATGTAACAGTTATGCGATGAATATGCGACATTTTTCGCATAACCTTCGCATTTTTTGGGGTGAAAAACTTAGTTTTTTATTGGACGGTGTGAAAAACTTAATGTGTCTTTGTATTGAGGTAAAAAAGATTTTTTTCCCATTTTTGGTGTTGTTGAAATTTTTTGTTTGGTTTGGTTTGGTTAATTTTGAAAAAATGTGGTATGGTTAGTTGTTAGTTGGTATATTAAAATAATATTTAAAATAAAATAATTAAAATAGATTTGATGTAAAAGTAGGAGATAGATGGTTTGAATTGATGACTAGTTAAAATAATGTGAGTAAATTAATAGTGAATTAAAGTTGATGTGGTGTGTATAATAATTTATTGATATTATTTAATTATATTGATAATAATGAAGATATTAAGATTGAGTTAAAAAAGTGATTAAGTTAAAATGTTGGATATTTTTTTTTATTTTTTGTATGCCAACATATCCCTGGCACTAGTAGAGCCAGAACAAAATCTAGATTAATCCTCCTTAGAATTGCACAAGCAACCACAAGTGTACAAACACTCCCAAACCAATATTTTTTTATAGGATTGTACCTTTTTTTAAGAAATACTCCCTCCTATTCAAAATAAATGTCGTTTTGAGAAGTTGCACAATAATTAAGAATATTTTTGTTGTCAATAATAACCCTATTTAATGAAGATAGCGATGAATGTTTTAAGAAAAAATAAATAGGAAATATGGAAAGACGTAGTGTATTTATTGACTAAATGAGGGTAATAATAGAAAAAACATGTACAAAAGATCTAAAACGACATTTATTTGGTTAATAGTTGATAAAGACAAAATAACATTTAAAAAGAATAAGAGTAGTATTTTTTTTCAAACGATGATTATATTAAAAACTAAGAAAACAACACTTAGGGATGTGACACTAGTAGAGCCAAAACAAAATCTAGATTAACTCTCCTTAGAATTGCACAAGTGGAATTTTTGATTTCTTTAAAAATAAAAATAAAAAGTGGACAAAAACAAAAACAAAAAAA